GACCGGGACGTGTCGCTAGCTCTGTAGCTACCGTACCAGCGAAACGTCCGTAACGTGCTGCCGAAGCCGCAATACATCGGCACGTTTTGTACACCCTGACACTTGTATTAATTGACTGCGTTGGGTTGCAGGAGGGTGTATGACACAGCAAATTTACTTACGGGATCTGACCGCAAAAAAAAAGTCCAATATGAAGCTGAAAATTTGTATTATGGTGATCATTGATTGCATTTATAATACCACCACAGCAACAACAACAAAAGATAGTGTCTCTTCGTCGTTATTCACTCTGGTACATTGTACAACCGAGCAGTTTTAATTAATACAGCATGTGTGGCAGGATAGTGCTCACTCGTGTACAACAGTGCGCACACAGATAAAGACAAAGGTCCCCCGTATAGCCTGTAACAGACTGTTGGGGCAAGTGCTGTTAGCGAGCACCTATGAAGGCCGGCACTGTGGCACACGAGGGGTTGGGTGGCCAGCACCACGCCCGGCCGCCTTTGTCTCCCCAGTGACGATATTTTTACACACTGCACCAGGTACTCATTTGAGGCTGAGTCGACCTAGGGGAGACCCAGGACCTGTTCAGATAATCGTCACTGGGTGTTGGCCGTGAGCAGGAATCGAACTCGGATCGCCGGGTTAACCACTACACTACCGCATACCAATACCCCGACATTCGCCCCTAAGTGACAGTGACGTCACCACGGTGCTTGTGCCAGGCTAGGTGCACTCTGAGGCCACGTGAATTGTCGGAGGTCTGCTGCCGACAGGGGGTCTCGGGACAGATCCAGAAGGTGCCATGGGTTGGCTGACTAAGATGACTGGTAGACGCACCAGCTGTACCCCCCTACTGTGCCAGGCTAGGTGCAGTTCATGGGACAGACCCAGCCAGTGCCATGGGTTGGCTGACTAAGATGACTGGTAGACGCACCAGCTGTACCCCCCTACAGTGCCAGGCTAGGTGCAGGTCACGGGACAGACCCAGCCGGTGCCATGGGTTGGCTGACTGAGATGACTGGTAGATGCACCACCAGCTGTACCCCCTGCTGTGCCAACACGACCGCATATACACATACATACGTGCATACACACAGACAGCAATTGCTTGTGTTCAAATGCATTACGACACACACCGACATACATCCAGTACACACATTTTCACTTTTAAGTGCCTAACCACTCACCCCACATGCACACAGACGACACATTGCAGATGCACACAAGCACGCAGCGAAGTATAAACACACAGCATATGCACACACATAAATCCATGTATTCTCACAAACGTTCACGAAATAATTGCAACACACACGCACTCATTATTTATATGCACACGCCCGCCTGACACACACACACACGTGTGAACATAAATAAGAGAAAGATCCCCCCCATATAGCCCATGCAAGCTGTTGGGGCGGTGGGCAAGTGCTGTTAGCGAGCACCTATTAAGGCCAACACGACCCAAGAGATGGTGTTGCGGTGCTGCTGAACACCACGCCCGGCCACTTTGTGCCTCCACTGTGCCCGTGCGTGGACGCTGCGCCCGGACACAGATCTCAGTCGAGGCCGGGGGTCACCGAGGAGGAGGAGGCCCGACCCCTGTTGCGACCTTCATCGCCGACAGCGGCGGCCACGAAGGGAAAATCAAACTCGGTTCGCCGGGATTCGCAGCGCCAACGGCAACCGCCGGCGCCACCGCTCCCTGTCACATACGCAGACACACAACGCGCACGCACACGACATTTTTCGCGTGTTGGAACACAAATCACCGCGCGCGCAAAGGGCACCAAACGTGAGATGATCACCGCTAATTTAGATGGCGAGGCTCGGGGGGGGGGGGGGGGGGCTATGCTAACCCCCCCCCCCCCGTGTGTGTGAGAGTGCCGAGACGGCCTTCTTTTGTCCGACGGAGTGAGACGGGGGTTAATTTCCCCCCCATCCCCTTTGCCTCTTCCATCCACTCAGCCATCCTCTTTCTTCCCTGCCCGTCCACCAATCCTCCCCCCCCCCCGCTGCCCTCTCCAAGCCTCCTCAAGCCATGGTCCCCATCCCTCCGGTTGCCATGGTGACGGTTGCTAGGCAGCCAGCCCCCCTCCTTGCTCCTGGGCTGCATTCAATAGATCTGTGTGGTGCTGCAGTGGATGGGGGAGGATTGAGGTGGGTGGGTGGTTGGGGGTAGCAATGTTGTGGTGTACACCTTTGTTGGCTGTGCGTTTGTCAACAAATGTTTTTTTTTTACAATGTAATTTTTATTATCATCAATTAGAATTAATTTGATTATTGACATCGTTATCATTAGCTCCAGCTTCTGCGTCATCACGGTCAATCATAAGCCATAATTTTCATAAACTTATAATAATTATTCTATTCATCACGATCATACATTATGATCCTTAATGTATGGATGTATGCTGAATTCCTTTTACCTCACATGTAGCCAACCGTGCTAATCGGAGATGCGAAATCATCATCAATTATAATTCTGAATATTGCATAATCAGAAATTCATCATTACCTTCATTACCAATGATAGGTTTGCATATCATTCCATCATTATTATCATCATGTTAAGCATAACATCAACATGATCATCATACATCCATATTCTAAGTATATTATCAACATGCATGTTATCATTGACATTGCATAATTAACTTTAATTGATTTGCCATTTAGTAGCAAGGTAAATTGGTGTGCTAATGGGTCAGTAGGTAGGTTTATTTGTAGGTAGCTTAATGCATAGGGAGGTAGCTATGTTGATAGCTAAGTACGGTAAATTAATAGGTAGCTAGTTTGATTGCTCAGGCACATTTATGGGTACATAGCATGGATTCATTGCAAGCTGGATCTGTCTGGTTTGGCAACTAGGCAAATATGCCCATACTCAGCACACTACATCCAGTATGCCTCTGGCTGTGGCTAGTTATGGGGTTGCTTACTCAAATCTGCCAGAGATCCGGAAAGTATTCGATGAGAAATTAATTACTGCGTTTATGCGTCGGTGCTTGATAGCACCGACGCCGTAGGTAATTGTGGGTAGGTAGATTTGTAAGTAGAGAGGTTGAAGCATGGGTATATGCATGGGTATGTGGCCTTGGTAGGTAGGTTTATGCATATGTGAATTAATAAATACGTAGATAGGATAATGTGCATGTCGGTAGAATAGTAGATAGGTTGATGCACCGTTGGCTTGTGCTCCAACTCACTCTGTTGACTGTCTGAATGCAACTGTTGATGATAACATAACGATCAACCAGACCGCACGAGGGAAACCTTACAGCTGGAACAGGAATAAACCGGAGCCAACTAAAATCATAACCAGTTTCATAACACGTTGTCAATTGTTATCAGTGGTCCCAGGGCCTCAGCTGTGTGGACTGACAGCTCCCATCCAGGATAACCGCTTGAGATGGATTGTAATCGGTAGTGGCTGAGTGGCGCGGTGAGGTCCTAATGACCGTGTCAGAGCCACTGAGTCATCAACGCTGCGATTCCAGGTTCTAATCCAGGCTCCCATCCACGTGAGATTGATGCACGAGCTTCTCGCGATTTGTAAAATGCTTCGTCCATGGGCTGTGCTACCAACGACTCTCGTTATCTGTGGCCTGTTATCTGTGTTCATGTGTCGATGAGTAACACGTAAATTATCTTCGGGAAATGCTAGCTTCATCCTGTTATCTGCACCTGTTCACGGATAACAGGAGTGGTCATGTTATCCGTAGTTATCTCTGGATAACCACGTGGGTGTCGGGATGGGCGGATATATAACATGACATGCCAATAGTATCGATACGGATGCGAGGAAACTCCCCATGTAGCAAGTTTGTTGGTGGCGGTCTCTAAATTCAACCTTTTATTTCCGTTTTCAGGAAATGATCATTTAACTGTGAAAATATGCGGAAGGCACTGGGAGCCATGTGTAACGAATATGGATTTTCCGCAGATTTCTGCGAGGATTAGCATGGACGAACCAAACCCGTTAAATGTTCCAATTTCGGGAGTTCCACACCACAGTCGGGGCAGTTGCTTACCTGGAGAGGATTTAATGGGTGGCTTAGGCTGCTCGAGCAGGGAGGGCGCACGGAGGGCGGGAGAGCGAGATGAGAGGGGAGAGGTCGCCGGGAGAAAGTCGATGGAGGATCTTGGGGACGGTGGGGGCCGATCTCGTCCGTTGATCCCGGATTGGATCGCGAGCCGGCGAAGGGATTTTAGGATTGGGACGATGCGGTGTCATCTGCAGGGTGCGGGCGACAAGCTGCGATGTGGCAATGTCTCGTGGTGGATAAGACTTGGTGGATTTGTTTTTTGGCGGCAGCAGCAGGACGCGAAGCAAGGTGCCCCCCCCCCCCCCCCCCCACTGTCCGGGTGTGAATGTGAATAAGAAAATAAACAACTGATGATGATACGTCCCGCGGAAAGAAATAAAAACGTGCGTGGAAAATTAATAACGCGGCTGACTCACTCGCTCGCTGTCGTACACACGGCGTGGTTCTCACGAGCGGTGCGTCTACGCTATGCAGTCAGAGCACGAGTTCGAATCGATGTTGTTACACGTTTCAATCCCTTAGCACATACCCCGGATGAGTGCTCATTTGTGTGTGTGTGTATCTTGAACCTGGTCTGATCATCCTCTAGGTTTGTTCAGTCTAAAATGCATTCCCTGTGCGGTAGTTTGATCGCAAATTTCATTACTGTATTTGAAACGATTGGGGGTTTGACGTTGATGTTTTCTTCAGGTGCTCCGGTTTCCTCACACGATTATAAACACTCATTACTTGGCTGAAAACATCTTGATGCAAAGAGGACGCCAGAGTTGAGGCAATTGTTGGCGCCGGCTTACCACCTGACCGCCTTCCAGCTTGTCTGTGTGGTTCCTACTCGGCGAACGCGACATGTCATTTGCACGAAGGACGGCGCGACATCGAAACCAAAACGAAGATTTTTTAAGCAAGGTTGTGTGCACTTGTGCGTGTGTGTCCCTGGCGCGCGTGCAGCTGGTCGCCAATGCGCTTGTCTTCGTGTGCACCAACATGGCGGGCGTGTGCACGCACTACCCCACGGAGGTGGCCCAGCGACAAGCCTTCCACGAGACGCGCGAGTGCATCAAGGCCCGGCTGCGCACGCAGAAGGAGAACCAGCAGCAGGTACGGGGACCGGGATAGGGAGCCGGCCGGTCCGTGCGGCACCCGGCCACAGTTTGTTGTTGCCGGGATGACGGCAGCAGTTCCGCATTTGCCTCGCTGGGCCTCACCCGGGACTTGAATTCTCACACGATATCGTCGCGAACGATGCTATCGGCTGGCTTGGAGTAGAGCAGAATGTTGGTGTAAGGCACTACCACTGCTACTACTACTACCACAGTACAAAGTACACCGATGCATGTTGATGTTACATTATTGCACGCTATATTTTTCCGTGACTACTTTTCACGACCTCTTTTGAGGAAAATCGCCTCACCCTGGTTGCAGAAAAAATGCCTAAAACAGAGGGACAGGGTCGTCGAAGAAGATTTCTGTGAACCTTTGTGGTACGGCCAAATTAACAGTGTAGATGAAGCTGCTACGCTACATTTCAGCGAGGCTCAACCAGGACACATGGTAAGCCGGCAGCCCCTCTCTCTCTGTCAGTCCCCGCCCACATTTTTACGTAGTCACGCCCACTCAGTCACTAGCCCGGCCCACGCAGTCAGTGGCCTGCTCGCTCTTTCTGGCATTGGGCCCTGTCCTGCATTGACCTCTTGTTTCAGTTCTCCTTCAGTTTCCCTTCGCCTCATCTCCCTGAAACTTGAGCCTCTACGTCTCCCCATCTCTCTGTGTACTCGTGTTCCCTTGTCCTTCGGTGTCTTTGTGTCCCCGTCAACTGTGTAAATGTTCCGTGTCTCTGTGTCTCAATTTGGGTATGAGCAAAAAGATAATTGTGACATATCATGGAAAGAAGAAGAAAAATATCTCACAATAGCAGAGGAGGGAGGCGATTAGCACGGTTGGCTACGTACAGTGACAAATAAGTTCAACATACCAACATAATGCATTGTCTTGAACGGTGCATTATTACGTAGCTGACACAAACTTGGATTTTTAATGCCCTTTGCGAGACTCAGATTTCCCAAGACATTAGCCGCCTCAAAAGAAGAGGGCGATCCTCGGTAATTTGCGCTCCTTCAGCGGAGGAATAGCAACACTACACAAACCCTCTCCTGAAGCCCTCTCATGGCCAGCAGACCTTGGCATAGCCCCTGAACATATTGCCAAACACAAGGGGTAGAATGCGTGGTCCTTTGTCCCTGTGTCCCCAGGAGCGGCTGCTGCTGTCCGTGCTGCCCCGCCACGTGGCCATGGAGATGAAGGCCGACATCAACGCCAAGAAGGAGGACATGATGTTCCACAAGATCTACATCCAGAAGCACGACAACGTCAGGTGCTGCGCGAGCTCACGTGCCTCGCGACACGCGCAGATGTGCACTGCGGTGGCGAGATTTTATCTCCCTCGCCTGGTATGCAGAAGGTCTACTTATTAATCTTGCCGATGCTAATGTAGAGCAACAATTATAATTTTACATTGAGGTGGTTAAGCCAGATAATTGCGTCCACCCAGCAGTATAAGTGGAGCAGTGTTCTTCATTGCAAGTCCCGCAGGCCACTGGCGGCTCCCTGGTGGCCTTTAGTGTGGCCCCTTGACGTGCGGCCCCTGACAATACGCAACATGCGAAAATGCCCCATTATGCTGTCAAACCCCCAATGGTTTCAAATGTGTGGCGGTCCTCACGCTAATGTCTTATTGGCAAAAGTGCTGGCCCCTCTGAAAATGAGTGAAGAACACTGCGCTAAAGGCAGTTGATCAGCAAGGTTGTGTGTGGTGGGGTATAGTGTGGATGTTTCACGCCTCTTACAAGACAACTGGCCAGCGTTGAAAAATTAGGCCAAACATCTGCTATAAAGGGGCTTTTGATCTCTCCCTATAGTGGAGGGGTCCTTTCACCAGCAGTATCTTGAACAAGACATTTCAGCGCCGGCACCTTTAACTTTCACTGTTGTAATTGGGCCGCTGCTGTATAAACAAGGCATCGATCACATCACGGTAAACGATGCCAACAACAGTGGCTGTGAAAAGAAAACAATGCCGTTACGGAAAACGGTCAAAGTAGCTCAGCTTCTACGGGTAACGTTCAATATGAAGGCGCCGAGTAATTTCTCACACTTCGTAATGGAAACTCAGATCATGGACGAGTCTAAACCGTTATTTGTTTGGCCTTACAGGTTGTGCTTAATTTGTCAAAACCTCGAGGGAGATGGTCAACCGGCACTGGGGTTGAAACTCATTCCTTCAGAATTGCAACTCCTTTTGCACCTCCAAGAGAACTATAATATTCTCGGATTCATTAGCTGATCAACAAAAAGCAATGCCTTTAATGAAACGTAAATTTATACGCGAATTTAAGAGATTATAAAACATGTTAAAGAGCCTTGGCATTATCTCTAAATGTACTTGAGCCCATAAGAAGTGCCGTTTTTTCATTGAACGCGCCCGTTGTAGCACATTTTACCATCACAGTAGTAAAAAACTCGTCAACAAAGGAATTAACTAGACTTCAAAGAGGCATGGTGCTTTTGCGGGGTGGATGGCCAAGCATATTGGTCATAATTCTTTGTTCTTGAGCCACTTTTCACAGAGATTATGGTTCATATCCAACTACAAACAGTTTTTAATAATTTGGGGCTACATAGTATGCTATATGGTTTCGAAACCTGCTGCTGAAAAAGGCAATTTTTCATAGCTTCTAAAATGCTAAAGCTACCAGACGTCTTGGAGGCTCTTCGTGGCCACATGGTGAGCTAGCAGCTCCTCCCTCCACCAGCCCTGCCCTGGGTTTTAATTATGAACGTACACTCTGAGTGGCCTCTTCCTTTCCGATGTTGGCCCCGCTGACCGAACTGTTAACCCCTCCTGTTACTCTGTAGCGCCACACCTTTGCCTGTACAATGAGTTTAGTATGAGGATATTGACAAACGTGTTCGATTATGGGTTGGGTTGCCATCTAATCCACAGATTAAACCCAGGCATATTTCTCAGTCATCCTGGTCTGTCAGAACTGTGGAGTTAAACTGCGATGAAGTTCAACACAATAGGAACCATTTGTCAGGACAACTATTTTTTTCCTGCCACCCAAATCCTCCTGGACTGTCCGGGTCAAACCAGGACAGGTGACAACCCTAAGCGTGAGGTCAAGACATCTTTTTTTACATTTTCTAAAACGATTCAGGACAGCGGGACAATATATGTGGAAAGTTCTGGCCAAACTGGCATGTTTTGGTAGCTTTAGAAAATGCACATTGTGGACTTGTTGGGTCCTACTTGAGGCCTTTTGATTTGTGAAGCCTACTGCTTTGCCTGCAGTGGCCGCTCAAGTCCCATGGGCCTAGCAAGCCGTTGCCGTGGAAGCACCGCCAATCGTTAACTCTCACTGGATTAATAATTGTCTTAAAGGGCTTGTTTTGACTTGACTTGTGTCTGTTAATGTTTAATTGGCCACTTAGGCGAAGCTGGTGTAAAGTTGCTCAAATACAAATAAATATCGGAAATAATAAATATGTAAAGAAAGGGGGTTCTTAATGGTTGAAGTGAAATACCATTTAATCTGTCAGCCCAAGGGGATGTTTTTTTCAAATCAATTACTGTTTTGGGTGTTTCCAATTCACCTTTTTGTTTGAATAAGTGCCCTTTATCTGACTCTAAATTATGAAAATCAATACGATAGATAAAAAAAATGTGTATATCCTTCAAACAAAGTCATCACCGCGTCTCTCGCATCGATGCAGCTTCAATCTAAAGAACGTCAGGTTCTATTAAATTTTTTATCACTTGCAATTTCCCATAAATATTTAAGCGGGAGCTTTCGGAATGCTCCGTTAATTATTTTTATTGTATTTGCCATCATTATTTCTCTTTATCATTATTAATAACGGTTAAACGGCACTTTGCTGAAGTCATTGGCAGGAAGTACGGGCGTGAATAGTAGCTCCATTAAATTGTTTCGTCCACTTTATTTAACCGAGTGAGCATCCAAGGAGTGTCATCATCATCGTTGTTGTTGGGAAAGACCTTGAAAAGTGTCAGCATAATATTTTGATATTTCATTCTTCAAGTCAAATGAAAGTGGCCTCATTTCTGAAATTTGCGCCATTGCGAAGCGCTATTCCCTAAATCAGTGGTGTAAATACAAGGAGCAGATTCCCTCTGAGGGTAACTGCTATTCATTTCAGGTAATCCTTGCAAAATAAATGTCTTGCTTCAATAACTTCTCACTTGCTGAAATACCATAATGTCAATAAACAAATGACACCCCATACATGTGTAGTGGGTTCACTTGAGAGACACACACTAATTCATCAGGCAACACGCTTATTCTACGAACACAACGGGGTAACTACATAACCAGTAACCACAACGGGATAACTACATAACAGGTAACCGCCACGGGGTAACTATATAAACAGGTCAGGTCAGTCGGCACACTGCCTGATCCACGATGCCGAGCACGAAGACCGGAGACCGAGGAGAAGACGTAGCACTACGTCCTCAAATGCCCCCTACTCTGCCAGCCCCCAGAACCATGCTCCCCTAGAGACCTCTTCCATGACATCGTGTACTCTGCTGGCAGTGAGGGCTACGTCACACGCAATTCCTCTCTCTGTTGGTAGATGGCGCTCGGCGCCGTAGTGACCCATTATATGTCACTACACATGTATGGCCCTCTGTCCGTCCCAACTGCTGGCCTGTTCCATGCCACGTGGGTCTGTGGGGGTGATTTGACCATACTTCACCACGCTGGTCAGTGCAGGTTGGGATACATAGGCGTGGGAGCACAGAAATACAGTACTCTACAATAGTGGATTTTGCTGCATTGCCCTTTGCTGATCGTCGTGTAGATCTGCAGCCTATAACACCTGTTATGCATCCTGGCTACCCATCTCAGCTCGATTGAGACTCAACTCTGCCGAGCTTCTGTGATCTAACGAGACATTGGGTGCATTCCAGGTGCTTTGGGTCACCTGCAAACTTTGCAACCCCTGCAAAAAATTACACTGGGTGCCTGGAGCAGAAACAGAAGCTTCCAATCCGACGAGCAGCTTTGCAATCGGACTTCCAACAAAGACCCATTAAACGTTGGAAATTTGTGTTGAGTTGCACTTGCTTCTTTAAAAATCCTTTTCGCTCTCGCGCTCAGTGAGAGCTTCCCACGGCTACGCTGTGCTGTGCGCGTCCTCGTCGCATTTCAAGACGCCGCAGTGCCTCGGCTAAGCTGCTTGCGGCAGAAACACCCTTTTGATGGCTCGTCACACTGGGGTTTGTAAACCGCCGAACACAGCCCGAGCGTTGATGGGCAACCGCCGACTCTGGGAAGACACCAATCCAGCCGGGTAGGAGGTGCGGTTAAAGCTCCCCGTCTCTCCACCGTTAAGGTCACAAGTTCCAATTCCCAGCAGAGATTTAACTCAAAGAGTGTACAGTGTTGGGCAGCCACTGTGATTTTTTTTTTCTACCATCCTTACCGCATTCCATTCTACGGGAAGTACGAATATGGCAATGCAGCAAAATGATTTGCTGCATTGCGATCTACGCGTCCACGCTTCCTGACTTCACCAACGCCGCACTGCTCAGCGCAGTGAAGTACGGTCAAATAATCCTCATGACCTACACGACGTGGGGAGGTCCTCGTCCCTCATTGGATCGATCAAATATCTACACGAGTAGATATAACTAGTATATGTGACTGATAGTAGTGGTGTCTAATCCATATTTGTTTTGGGTTAGGCCACGTAATACCTGTGTAGTGTGTTGTACAGAGGCACACACTGGAGTTTGGATCCAACGCGTTTATTCCAACACCCCAACAGGTTAACTCACTAAACGTACACTGGTTCTACTGCTCAGTGATAGCTACACGGTTAACTATCTGAACAGCAGGTTAACTACACAACCAGGTCAGTCAGCCTACACGCTGCCTGACCCACGATGCCGGGCGAAGACCGAAGACCACAGAGACGTAGCACCAAAGGTTGATTCCACAGACGAGATCCGATTGCTCTCGGAGCTTCCCCTTTATCCTGCCGAGCGTGGCATCGCTCCGCCTTCGGACACGCCCCCTTCTGGATCTTGCCAGAAGGCTCTCAGCTCCACGTCACGTGTCCCTCGAGTCTCCTTTCGGGTCCCCTTGCTACCCTGTTCCGGTCACATGCCCACTCGTCCTCACTTGCTCTCCTCCAGGCCTCACCAGAGCTATGCCCCCTATGGCTCGCTTCCATGGCAACCCATGTTCTGGTGGCAGAGAGACTCCCGACGTGCGTTTCCACTCTCGTGACAGCAACTGACGCTGACGCCATAGTGACACCAATAATGCCACTCAGACGTCGCAAACGGGTTTTGATTCCTTACCCGTACCCGGCCGCACCAGGGTCGCAAACGGGTACCCGTACCCGGCCGTAACCGTACCCTAGGGTAGGGTATGTTGCAGGCGCGGGTGGGTTAATTCTAGGAACTTGAATTGTGAGAAGAGACAAGACGTTGGGAAATGAGTGACAAACGGTTACTCACCAGTGACTCACGGTCTACCCGCTACCCGGCCACACCAGGGTCGCAAACGGGTACCCGTACCCGTACCTGGCCGGGTAGCCGGGTATCGGGTAGGGTACGGGTATCGGGTACCCGGTTGCGACCTCTGATGCCACTGCACCTGTAGTAGTCTTATGACAAAAAAATGTTCCATTAACCTTCCACCACCCGACAAGATTGCCACGCTTATAAAGATATTATGCGTATGTGCCAATCACTGTACAGTGGCGATAACATTCTGACTGCACGTCCAATTAGCACGGTTGGCTACTACGTACGGTGCGAAAGAAGTTCAACATTCTGATACACAATAAAGTTCCTCACCGGTGGCTTAAGAGTTTTGATGTCCGAAATGAACACAAACGTAGGATGACGTTTTGTTTTCAACTGCTCTTGAGCTTCTTCAGATCGTGCAATGGGCAGGTGCACTACCTGGATCAATACATTGGCGCGTATAAATCCCATCTCTGCAAACCTGACATCGTTGCCGGGCAGCGGGAGAGTTAATGATAAGAAATTGGCGCAACAACAAAAAAACTTGCCACGTGGTCTCACCCAAAAACAAATATTGATCGTTGTGCTCGCTTCCGAAAAGCTGCGTTTTAATCTTGTGCCAGTGTCTCTTCGCTAGGAGAGGCTTAACGAGAAGTTTTGTCTTTCCGTCCGTCTCCCAGCATCCTCTTCGCAGACATTGAGGGCTTCACGAGCCTGGCGTCTCAGTGCACGGCCCAGGAGCTCGTCATGACACTCAACGAACTGTTTGCGCGCTTCGACAAACTTGCCGCGGTACGTTGTCCCACGAAGACAAAGAGACAAAGATTCACACGTATAGCCTCAAACAGATTGTTGGGGCAAGTGCTGTTAGCGAGCACCTATGAAGGCAAGCATGGCCATGCTAGAGGGATGGGGTGAGGCAGCCCCCCAAGCCCGGCCGCCTTTGTCTCCCTAGTGGCGATGTTTACACACCGCACCAGATACTTCAGTAAAGCTTAATTGACTTAGGGGAGACCCGGAACCGGTCGTGAGCGGAAATCCAACTCGGATGGCCGGGTTAGCGCAGTGCACTAACCACTGCGCTACCACTCCGCTGCAAGCACGTACACGCAGACACGTAAACTTGAGCATATACGTATAAAAAAGCACGTGCATGCAGTGCCTCATTACGCATCGGGGTATACATTGCTCATTGTTGACACACGAGTGTATAGGTGCGTATGTGTGTTTGTATATATATACAATGATCCCTCGGTTTACGATGCCATTGATTAACGATATTTCGATAAACGATCCGCCTCCCATAGGGTCCCAATGTTTCCATTAACGATACATTTTCGATTAACGATATGTTCACGATATCACGCAGCCGCCAATTTCGGCCAATCGGAGAGCTCCTAAGTGGATTTGGCAGACCTCAGCCAATCAACGACGCCCTTTCATGAGCGTTCTGAGAGCAACTAGCTGCTAGCTTTTCAATGTTTATTGTGCGTGGCTTATGGAAACAGCTCTCTTGAATAATTATTGTTTTTTACTTGAAAGTTAAATAATCAATAATAATGGCCCCTAAAATGAATGTCAAGAAAGACAAGAAAGCGAGGAAAACTATTTTCTCCCACCCCGACTTCTCCATTAACTCCTTATGCCATCCATCTTATTAGCCCAAGATACGAATTTTTATCCTCTATTTATGCACCTTTTTATGATCTTTTTATTTATTATTATCCAAGTTTCTACGGAGATTTAGGCTTTAATATGTTCTTATAACTTGACTTAAAGCTTTCGTGACTGCAGGAATTCATATTCTTATATATTTTTATTTGTTCTATCTACGTGGCTTTACTGAAAGACCCAAAGAACATGTTCTTATAACGTTTATTTATTAAAATTGTGTGCTTAAATATTATAACCTATGTTTTTAGGGTGAAAAAGGTCAGCTTCCGATCGTCTTGGAACAAATTAAGCCTTTAACGTGTACTACCTATATTCGCTTAACAATCATTCCAATTAACGATGGTTTTCGTGGAACCAATTAATACCGAGGGACCACTGTTTACATGTGTGTAGAGCTCGCCCCAGTAGTTGATGAGGCTATTCGGGGGATCTCTGCCTTTTGCTCTTCAGGAAAACCACTGCCTGAGGATCAAGATCCTGGGTGACTGCTACTACTGCGTGTCGGGGCTGCCAGAGGCACGCGCAGACCACGCGCACTGCTGTGTTGAGATGGGAGTGGACATGATCGAGGCCATCTCGTACGATGCACGCACACACACACACGCAACAAAGATCACACGTGTTGCCTTTAACAGACTGAAGGAGCAAGCGCTGTTCGCGAACAACCGATGAACGGCTGGCTCGCCACACGAGGGGGTGGGTGGCCAGCGCCACGCCTTGGTATCCCCAGTGGCGATGTTTAAATGCCGTGCCTTGTACTCATTTGAGGCCCAGGATTGGTTCAGATATTTGCCACTGATGTTATCTATGGCTGGGAATTGTACTCGGGTGGTCGGCTTTCTAGGATGGTGTGCCAACCACTGCACCACTGCTCCACGCAGATATGTACATATTTACACAAAGACAGAGACCCCCCCGAATAACCTTAAAAAACAGTTGGGGCAAGTGCTGTTAGTGAGCACCTATGAAGGCCGACACGGCAAATGAGGGGGTGAGTGAGCAGCACTGCGCCCGGACGCCTTTGTCTCCTGAGTTGCGATGTTTACACACCACATCAGGTACTCATTTGAGGCTGAGTCGACCTAGGGGAAGCCCTGGATAGGTTCAGATATTCGTCACCGATCTTGTCCCTGAGCAGGAATCGAACTCGGCTTACCAGGTTTGTAGCGCAGCATGCTAACCGCTACACTACCGCTCTCCACATGTACACATTTACACACACGCCACGCACGCGCATCTCCATACGCACCACTTTTTAGACGTTCAAAATAATCATTCAAGCGATTGGAGTTGTCGAGGCACAAGCCAAAGTAACGCCCATTCACACCCGGTGAGTCTGAGAGGTCGCAGAGTCCCCCGATCTCCACCGGCTCGGGAAGGCGTAACCGCAGGACAACTCCAATTGATGCCTCGGAAACGGCGATGTCTCACCCGAAAACTAGAATCGTTTTTCGTCCATTAGCCTACTAGCATTCAAGATGAATTACTCTCGAGCAGCATTTTATTTTAAGCAAGCAAAACTCGAGAGCAGCCTTGACCTTTTTTGGGGTTTCATCAGCAGAGCTGGGCTTGTTAATCTAATGCTGCTAGGTTACCAGATGTTTTTGCAAGAGCACTCCTTAATTCCCTGCAATGAGTGGTTCTCCTAATGTCAGTCATCTGAGATATGAATGATTATCAAGTGTAGTCCTCGGAGGCTGGGTGTCGCTGAATTAAGTAAAAAAAAGATTATACAAATAGCGATTTCAAAAATAAAATTAAGTTATGGGTTTGTAACGTTCAAATCCTGGTCAAGTTCCGGCTCAGCCGCTTAAATCCTGGTCAGGTTCCGCCTCGGCCTTTCATCCTTCTGGGGTCAATATGTCATAAGAGCGGACCGGCTTTCACCATGGGAATGTGGAATTTCCACTCCTGGCTCGGCTATAAACACAGATGAGAGGTGGCGCAACATGCTCGTTTTGAGCCTTGGAGAACATTTTCTTTCGTTTTATATATACATAGAAGCAGCAGATGAAAAGGAGTGACCTATTGCACGAATTAACAGAGACCATCAAACTCACACGAACCTCTTTTAATTTAGAATGGGATCTAAAGGATTTGAAGCCAGGGATCTCACTTGTGCTACTGGCTCATTAGCTATAAAGTGGCCATTATGAGCCCCACGAGAGGAACCCAGCCTCAGGGCATGAATCGGGCATCCCAGCAGGCCTGCCTTCAATGGCTCAGACTCGGCCATTATTAATCCATCTCAATCACTGAATGTATGAATTGTATTCTCTAAAATTCAAATTTCAACCCCAACCCAATTCAGGGGGTTTTGTGTGTTTTTTCGTTGGGAAATAGAAAAGTTAATAACGCCCAAGTGGCGGCAGCACAAGCCCTGGCTTACCGAAACGGTGCCGCGTTACATAAATGCACTCACAACTTCAAAGCCTCGCTTCGGGCACAATGATTGGAGAAACTTTGGGTTCACATGCTCTTATTTCGACGAGGTTTTTTTTGTGCTTTCCACGACCGAGATGTTCCAGACGTCAGCCGGCTCGCCACCGAACCGGCATGCCCAGAGTCGCCGGATCGATTCCCGCTACAGCCGCCTCGTAATTTTTGCTGTCAAGGTCTAAGGGCGCTGTGGTGGCGAGATGTTAACTACCTCATCTGGTATACAGGATGTCGTGGGTTCGATCCCGACCCTGACGCCTGCTGTATATTTGGAGTTTGCGTGTCTCTCTCCCCGTGGTCATGTGGATTTTTCTCCAGGTCTTCTGGTTTTTCCCTCCACATTTAGAAACATGCTTTTGAAGTATTTGGCTACTCTAAATTTCCACACAATAGGCCACTTCGTTGGGCTATCATTTGTGGCCAGGTCGCTTCTGAAAAAGAGCTACAAAGCTCAGTGGGCCTTACCTGGTAAAATAAAAATAAAGTGTTTTTGTTTAATTGCAGGGGTTGCCAACCTGCGGCTCTTGAGACACGTGTGGCTGTTTGAGGGCTGCTTCGTGGATGTTATTAATTAAGGACAACACCGTCTCGTATTCACCACGCGCATTGCGGCTCTTGAAATATTGAGGGGTTTTTGTTATACCGAATTTGAAACAAATAGCTCTTCTTGTTATTTTGGTTGCCGACCCGTGGTGTAATGGTTAGCACACTGAAATTGCAATCCAGAGTTTGACTGTCTTCTTCAATACCACAGAGTGGCAGTTGTTACAATGAACAACTTTCTTCAATACTTCCGCCTCTGTTGACCAATCAGTTGTGGCTTTAATAGGTACTCGATAACAGCACTTTTCCCCAACAGTCTGCTAAAGGCGAAACGGAGATATTTGTCTCTATGTACATGTTTCACGTATATGAACGTGTGTATACATGTGCGCGTGTGTGTACATGTTTATTAATATACGTAGGGAGCGGTGGCGTCGCGGTTAGCGCGCTGCGTTACGAACCCGGTGACCCGGGTTCGATTTCTGCTCATGGCCAACACCAGTGATGATTATCTGAACTGGTCCTGGGCCTCCCTTAGGTCGACTCAGCCTCAAATTAGTACCTGCTGCGATGTTGTAAACATCGCCACTGGAGAGACAAACGCGACCGGGTGTGGTTTGGCTACCCACCCCCTCGTGTGCCGTGTCGGTGTTCATAGATGCTCGCTAACAGCCCTTGCCCCAACAGTCTATTAAGGCTAAATGGGGGATCTTTGTCTTTGAATGTACGATGTGTGTTCGTGTGCATATTCACCTGTATGCACGTGTATGTGTGTATGTGTATGATTGTACGTCTGTGTTCGTGTGCGTGTTCACCTGTGTGTGCGCGCGTGTGTGTGTACGTGTATGTGTGTGCCTGCTCATGCGCCAGGCTCGTGCGAGAGGTGACGGGCGTCAACGTGAACATGCGAGTCGGCATCCACAGCGGACGCGTCCACTGCGGGGTCCTCGGACTCATCAAGTGGCAGTTTGACGTCTGGTCCAACGACGTCACCCTGGCCAACCACATGGAGGCCGGGGGCAAGGCCGGGTAGGCAGTGTGCACACAACAAACAACAACAACAAACAAACACAACAACCACAATCTCAATTAACATGGTGTTCTAAAATGGCCCGCTCTCTACACGTACAGGCCCCTTTGTCAATCCATTGCTGGATGAGAGCCCCACCGGAACACACCACGTGGGTCGTGGGACAATGGATTTTGCTGCAGGGCCTTCTGGCGCTCACACCGTAGACCCGGAGCATCTACAACACCTGTTAGGGCATCGCGGTGGCCATTGCGAGCAACTGAGCACCATATCGGTACTCAAGGCCTGTTTAGCTTCTGAGATCTGTGATAGGATCGGGTGCATTCCGGATGATTTTTTTTTTCATCAAAGGCCCAAAATGCTTTCACTTTACAAAAAGGTGACATACTTTTGAGGGTTGAAGCGGGGGGGGGGGGGGGGGGGGGGGCGCTAGAGGGTTGGATGAGGGACCAAGAAACTGGGACCCCAGCACCAACGACAGCGATGGGCTCCATGGGCAGCCCGGGGCAGCACCAACGAGTGTCAGCTCGGCATCCTCAGGGCAGCCAAGGTCTAATCCAACGAGTCTTAGGGCAGTCTTGGGGGCTGGGGAATGTGCAAAGATCTCCCCGTATAGCCTGTAACAGACTTTTGGGGCAAGTGTTGTTCGCGAGCAACTATGAAGGCCGGCACGGCACACAAGGGGGTGAGGGTGACCAGCACCACGCACGGCCGCCTTTGTCTCCCTAGTGAAAATGTTTACACATCACACCAGGTACTCATTTGAGGCTGAGTCGACCCAGGGGAGGACTGGGGCCGGTTCAAATAATTGTCACTGGTGTTGGCCGTCAGTGGGAATCGAACTCGAGTTACCAAGTCCGTAGCGCAGCGTGCTAACCGCTACACTACGGCATGTACACACGTATGTGTTGGCAAGCCATGCATAGGGGACCCAACTAAGCTCACACATGCACGCGTACGTACGTACGTGCACACACATACATGGTGTACGTGTGTAAAGTTACGACTTATTTCAAGTATATGTAAAAGTTGCATGTTGCCCATTACAGAGAATTGAGATAGAGCGCACAAGGTAGAGCAAATGAGAATGAGACTTCAAATTTTTTTCCAAACCCTGTTTGTTGACTTTATTTGTACGATATGCAGATATATACACGAACGAAACTGTACAAGTGACGTAGAAAAACGGCAGCGAATGAGGCGAAACATGATCGATTCTTCAGTTTTCTCCTAAATTCGAATCGTGACCATTCCTTGTATTTGTTGTTGAACTTCTTTTGCACCGTACGTAGAAAACCATGCTGATTGGAGATACAGGGGAAGGACAACTAACTAAACACAAAAAACGGTTATAAATGAGCTTTCAATTTAGTTTTAAAAGTGTGTAGATACCAGTGGCTTGACTTGCATGGGCAGTGATTTGTTGCACGGAAAATGTATATTTATGCAATTGCACGTTCTCGTGAGTATGTGTACTCTCACACATTTAAATTCACAAACGCAAGCCCTTGTATCCCTGATATAGTCATGTTCATCACGTTCCGGCAGCAGCTACGCACTCATTCGAGGCTGAGTCAGAATCTTTATTATCCCTGGAAAAATCCGATGAACTATGAAGCTCTTTTGCACACTTGTCCAGTAGGGGCATGGCGGTCAGAAAGTTGCAACAATAATGCAAAAAAAAAGTACAGGAAAGGTAAGCAAATCACTCTAGATAAATAAAAATAGATAAAGTATGTACAGGGACTCCTCTACTTATGACCACTCGACTCACGAACTTTCAGAGATACGAACAAACCTGTCCATATGTCCAGTTGCCTGTTCAGAAAGAGAGTCGTAAATTCAACTGCCGCACATTAGATGGCGGTGGTGGCATCTACATCTGCAGAACATGAAGAAGCGGTGGCATCTACATCTACAGGAGATCACACAACTTTTAAAGCCATTTCCCATGCCGTAAAAACATGTTTGGAATCGACAGGATGAACAAATAGACTTACGAATAGACCTCTGGAACCTAACTAGTTCGTAAATAGAGGAGTCTCTGTAAGTAAAAATTCGGGGTGGCCAAACCTAGAGGCAGCCTATACCAGATATAAATACTGCCTTTGCACCAGTGTTGTGCATAACAGAATCAGAATATTTATTTATACTGGAGGAATCCGATGAGCGACAAAGCTCTTTTGCACAGGCGTCCAATAGGGGCACGGGGTATAAGAACGTCACAACATCAAACAAGTACAAAAGAAGGATAAGAAGGAATACAAACCACGGCGCCACCACTCACCCCTCCACACTGCTGACGGAAACGGCTGTCGCGTTGCCTCGCCAAGACGAGCAGATGACGACGGTGACGCTGAACAATACAAAAAAAAACCCCACTCCACAAACTCACACACGCGCACGCACGAACGCATAGACGCCGATGTGCCAAACGCGACCACACACGAAGAGAGCGTTTGGCTGAACTCTAAAACGCACAGATCGCTTCTGATAAACGTGGAGGCCCCTCAAGCGTACGCATGCCGGCTGTTTATTTTAACCAAGGAGGTCTGCCCTCCGAGGAGAAAAAAGAAACATTAATCACAATGAACGTGTCAGTGCAAGGGTTAAGTGCATTTGTATACAGTGTTTGCATTACGTTACATGATGTAAACGCGCGTGTGCGCGTAATAAATGCGATTGTTACGTAAGTTAATGTGTGCGCGTTACGTGCGGGGAGCGATAGTGGTAGCGGTGCGCTACGAACCCGGCGACCCGAGTTCGATTCCCGCTCACTACCACAACTGGTGACGATCATCTGAACCGGTCCTGGGCCTTCCCTAGGTTGACTCAGCCTCAAATGAGTACCTGTTGCTGTGTGTAAACATCTCCACTGGGGAGACAAAGGCGGCCGGGCGTGGTGCTGGCCACCCATCCCCTCGTGCGTTGTACCTGGCTTCATAGGTGCCCGCTAACAGCACTTGCTCCTACATTCTGTTAAGGCTACACGGGGGGAACTTTGTTTTGTTATGTGAACAAGGTGAAGCACATTTAGATGCTGCCCTTTCTGAGTCCGCTGCTGGATGAAGGCCTCCGCATGCCTTGTAATGTGTACGGTATCGGGGTCTGTTTGACCATACTTCACTACACTGGGTCATTGCAGATTGGTGAAGGCGGGGTACGTGGACCGACTCAGACATCACTCGTCACCGATATTAGCCATGGCCTGGTATCAAACTCGGCTCGCCGGGTTCACAGTGCAGCGTGCAAGGCGCTACACCACCGCTTCAACCCAAAGAATGTTTAAATTGAGATTGAATTGCTCGACTCAGATTTAATTGTTCAAGGGCAAATCTGTGCTGTCGTCAGCGACAGATGATTCATGCTGTGCACAACTGCCATACACATCCCTTAATGTGTATTTGCCCACGTTGTGTGTGGGCATGAGTCCATGTGTACGCACGTGTGTGTGTCTTTGAGGTGGTGAGCGGTGGTAGTGTAGTGGTTAACGCACTACGCTGCGAACCTGGAGACCTGAGTTCAATTCCCGCCCACAGCCAACATCGGTGACGAATACCGTACCTGAAACCGGTCCCGGACCTCCCCTAGGTCGACTCGGCCTTTAAATGAGTACCTGGCGTGGTGAGACAAAGGCGGCCGGGCGTGGTGCTGGCTTCCCCACCCTCACGTGCACCGCGGCAGCCTCAGTAGGCGCTTGGTAATGACACTCGCCGCAACAGCATGTGATATCGTACGCGGGGGAGCTCTGTTTTTGTGCGCGCGTGCGCCCGCAGGCGGATCCACATCACCAAGGCCACGCTGCGGTACCTGAACGGGGACTACGAGGTGGAGGCTGGGCACGGTGGCGAGCGCAACGCCTACCTGAAGACGCACAGCATTGAGACCTTCCTCATCGTGGGCTGCAGCCAGAAGAGAGTGAGTGCGCACACGCCCCTCTCTCGTGCCTGTATCGCACCGAGGTGACACCTATACACCTGTATTGCACTTAGATCACACCTATACACACCTGTATCACACCGATACACACCTATATCGCACCTAGATCCTAGATCACAGTCTCAATATCACGCGCCACTGATGTTAACCGCACAGCAGGAATTGAAATCAGCCTTCCAGGTTCATGACACAGTGCACTAACCATTGTACCCCCCCCCCATCCCCCAAACTCCTCTGCACCGTGCCTAAAATTCCCTGCTATGCACCTGAACATTTCAAGTGTCACACCTTCTGTTGCTGGTTCATATTCCCATGGCGGGTATCCAATCCCTTTCCCGACTACAAAGGACGGCCGCAGTTGGCTTCCAACAAAGTGGTACTCAAATTAATGACACCAAAGGGAAGGCGACAATGATGATGACGACGGACTGAGCTGACCCGCGGCCAGGGTTTGAACTGGCGACATTCCGATTGTGAGTCAAGCTCTCCGTCACGTTACCCTTCTGGCACGGTAGTTACTCACACCAATGTGTATGGCAGCGCCGTGTGTAATAGGGCGTTGACTGACCGATGTGTAATTATAAAAGCACTTTGCAACAAAGTGGCCACCGCCGTTTGAAATATTTATAGCCGCACGCGGTCGACCGCGTTTCTGCTTAAAAAGGCAAAGTTTTTCGCCGGCAATGTTGAGCCGTTAACAGAACCTCCCACCCCCCCTCTCCGTTTCTCCGTGCTATCCGGAGTAGAGGGTCGTAAAGGAGGCCCCTAGCCAGGCAGACCCTGGCATCCCCAACCCAGACACCCTCTCGCTGTTTATCTTTAAAAAGTTATCCCATAATCTCGGTGTAGCAAAATCGATATACAACCGTAAAACTTCTTTCGGGACATCTGGTCAAAAATAGAAGAGTAGACCGAATGCCACCTGGAAGAGACCCTCAAGAGCTCCCTCTGCTGCTGGCACTGCCACCAGCAGTGGCAACGAACAGAGACATTCCAGGGCTGCACCTTTACTATTGGGGATTGATGGCGCGGTTTGTAGCGCACTGCTTTAATCCACGGATACGGCTACATGCGGTGCAAAAGAAGTTCAGGGCACGTGCGCACAAACGCTTGGATGTCCGTGTTCGATTCCCAGCCACGCATGGTGTCAGTGGCGAGTGAAATTTGAACCAGTTCTGGGCCTCCACTAGGTTGACTCAGCCTTAAAAGCTTGTGCCAGTAGCACTGAGTGACCATAAACTCTGTCTGCGTGTATGTGGGAGTGGTGGTGTAGCGGTAAGCACTACAAACTCGGTGACTCGAGTTTGATTCCTGCTCACAACCAAAACAACAATTATGAACATCTGAACTAATCTCGGGTCTGCCCTAGGTCTATTCAGCATTAAAAAATATGACGACCTGATGAAGTGTGTTAACACCAGCACTGGGGAGACAAAGGCGGCCAGGCATAGCGTCGGCCATGCCACCTTCTCGTGCGCCGTGCCAGCCTTCGTAGGTGCTCGATAACAGCACTTCCCCCAACAGTCTTTGTTTTACCTCTATGGGACATCTTTGTCTCTGCTGTAATGCATCCACACTGCCCTGTGTGCGCGTGCGAGCAGAAGGAGGAGAAGGCGATGATCGCGAAGATGAACCGGGCGAGGACCAACTCCCTGGGGAACATGGGCTCTCCGTGGGGCCCGGAGCGTCCCTTCTTCATGTCCAACCACGTCTCCAAGGAGATGAAGACCATGGTGAGCGATCGCCCTCGCGCACTGCTCACCCTCCACACCCGCAGGTCGCAACACTTCCACCACCACCACCCCCCCCCCCCCCTTCGCTTCTGCTCCGTCGCTCGCGTTGCTCCGCTCTTGGATCCCCATCCCACTGTCCCGGTCCCCCCCCCCGGCAAAGTCCTCAACAGCTTCGCACGGCTCAGGGCACCCGTCAACTCTCGCCCGATTGCGCCTTTAGTGGCGGCGCTGCTTGTTTACTGGCCACTCCGGCGTTTTGGGGACCTTTGGGCCTGCGCTCGGCAAACCGTGATGAACAAAAAATGTTGAGCCACCGTTAAACCCCCAGTCCCCCCCTCCCCCCCGTCCCCCCGTCCCCCCGTCCCCCCATCCCCCCCCCGCGCCTCCTGTCCCACCCAGAAGCGGCAATCAAAGTGTTTCCTTGCCACGGTGTAACCCAGGTTCAGTCAGGAGGGTGGGATGGCGGATCTCGCAAGGATGACAGTCTTGTTGTAGCACGGAGAGCTGAGATGGAGGTGATGGTGATGATGATGATGGTGACAATAATGGCATGGAACGTGCCGAACACGATGAAAGTGCAAGCGTAGACCTTCCAATGCAATAGATTTTGAATCTGGCAAAAGGAAGGAAGTGATAGCGTGGTGTGGTGGCACCCCCAATGGCAGCCATCGCGGTGACCTCGTATTGGAAGGTGCTCAGTGGTGCCTCGTAAAACTCATTCGGTAGGACGCCTCATAAGTGTAAAATATTAAAATATCATCGTTGTTATATCGGCGTATTCGCCTTGATGTGGGGATACTGTTTGTGAAGCCTAGTGTCTGCACTTACCCACACAAATAAGTTCCTTTTATCCACAATAAACGGAGATGCTCAGGAATAATTTGCAACTTGATTCTGGGTCGCCTTTTTTATCCGCAGAAAGCTGGATAAAAAAATGACAATGAATTGGGCGATTATATTATATTTTATTGGTGGCTCTGTGGAAATGCAGAAATGCACAGACGACAGGGAGAATTATCCGCTACTTACGCGTTAATCCTCTCATCCAAGGAAGTGCGCGGATAACAGGAATAATCAATTTGTGGATAGTAGGAAGAGTAGCGCGATAACTGCGGACGGTGGGGAGTGGGGAGTGGGGCGGGGGTTAACACAACGAGCCGCTAATAGGAGAGTGGTGAAGAGCAGTTTTGTCTTCGTCGTGGAGTTCAAGAGGCCGGAGCGTGTCTTTTTCTAGGGAGACCCCAGTAACCTGCAAAATCAGATCACAGCAATCAGTTGTTCCTAATGTGGGTAGTCCTCAACAGCGGGTGCGCTACGGGCAGCCAAGAGGTGCCTGGGCTGCATTCGAAATCGCCAGCCTCCCTCTCTTCTCTCTCTCTCTCTCGCCTGATGCTCATCCCTTGCGAAAAGGCCACGGCTCCCAAGGGACGGATGTCTCTAATTAAATACAGTGGCCTTCTCTCATGAGACAAACCACCCCAGGGCCGACCTTGCGCCAAGCCTGCAAACCGGCACCCCTCCCCCCTCGCATCCCTCCCCCAAACACCCGCCCCCCACTCTCGCCCACTCACCCACCCACACTCGACGCTTCAGACAATCATTATCTGTGAACAAGAACTAAGGAGAGTTGGTGTGCCGGGCGGCTCGGGAGGCTCACGCTGGCTGTTTCAGTAACCGTGCTCGGGCTCTCAGGTTCCCACTCGGTGTGTTTTTATTTTAAATGATATTCCTGGCCGTGGCTAGCCTCAGTGGAGCGTGATATTTGAACCGATCCTGGGCATCATAGTGGCCTGGTTCGGTTAGATGGGAATTATAGTGGCCATGCCACCCACCTAGATCCTGAGTTAAAATCTCGCGTTTGATTCCCAGAATCCCAGCCACTTGTGATATGCCAGCTGTGACGTTATTATCACGAGATGAGAAATTTCCACCCATGAGTCTCGTTGTGAGGAGTGGTGCAACATCATGCCGGGTTAGAATGGTACACCTTCTGAAGTTTATTTTAATAAGATTTGTCTTTTTTTTATATCACATTTTTGGGCATCTCACGACACAGAGGACCCATTCGGAACTGTCGCACGGCAGTACAACAATTCGTGTTAAGAGAGTGGACCTCCGAAGCGGATTTCACAGAGCTTCCTCTGATGTCGCTTTTTGGTGGCAGTCCCTCTCCCACCCCCTCTGTCACTCAGAGCAATGTTTGCCACGTGACACCCAAATGGATATTTTTTTCTCAGTGTTGCACGTCGAATAGATAAGTCAGCAAGCTACTTATCTTACTGCATTGTCTTGGACGACGCTTCATCAAACTGCAGGTTCGCAGTCTCACCGTGTGATCCACCAACCTTGCGTAATCATCCTTTACACCAAGGGGAAAATATCACCGTATTTGAGACAAGGTCATTCATTCGCATAGCATATTGAATATGTTTTGGTAACATAGCATGGGTCATGCAAGAGTGGGCTTGGGATGTTCATTTGTAGCACAAGGATTGAACGTAGAGGCCACGTGCTTGAATTCACCAATAACTCAAAGCGCCTTGCGTCACAGCTCATCCCAACCATTCCAGTCTTGCAAAGGTGGGCCCCCATCGGCAGCCGTCCCTGCGTGTGTGGCACAAGGTGCGCGCAGCGCTAACCAGAAAACTAAGTACGGTCCGCCAGTAGGGGGTGATTTCGTGACTTTTTCCAAAATTATCAACAGGAGATAATTGACGTGGTAATTTTTTTTTGTGATTGGGAAAAAAATGGCTTAGTCTTTTTCGAAGAACGTCACGTGATCTTTAATGCCCACTGAGAAGTGGTCGGCGCGTGATAATCGTTATTAAATGTAAAAAAATGCCCCGTCGACCGGTATTTTATCATTCAGACACTCAGCCCGTACGGGATATGGGGCTGATGTTGATGCGTCTGGCTCAGACACTTTGGTCAGCACTGCTGAGAGCCTAGGTTTGAATTTAAGCAGCCACCTGTCATTATATCAGGATCCCACGCACGGTGAGATTAATGTGCACAGCCTGGTCACATTTTTCACTTAACGTTATAGGGTTGGTATGTTTTACTGTTGGTGCAAACATGCGGTGCTCATAAATCCAACCGTCAAACCGATCGTGTTTCCATCGTGCGATTTCCTGATCGCGTTACGTAACTTTGTTTTCTGCTCCTGTTTACTCATAAACATCGTCGTGCAAACATGGAACACAACAGGTCGTTTGTAAAACGGCTTTGTCAAACGGCGAACAGGCGCCGATGACATATTGGGATGGAGTAGCGAGCGCTATGCGCAATTATTATTTTCATCGCCGATCAAACGCCACTACAGTGCGTAATTAGTATTTTGTGGAATATTCGTGATGTTTGTTTTTATTGTACGAGGGCTCCATCGTGAAGAAGGTGTGCTCTTGCGAATAACATCTGGTAAGCCTGGTCGTATTTGTTTCATAAGCCCGGCTCTGCCGAATCTGGTCCGAAGTTTTCCTGCTTGAAAATATGCTGCCTGAATGAGCATTTATCCAGAAGGCTCATAAAGCACCTCCGATTAGCACGGTCAACGTGGTTGGTTTTCGATCGGGTAAGTCGCTCACAGCAAGCCACCTTTACACTCAAGTTTCATTCCCTCCCACCTTCTAGACAGACGGAGATAATTACTTTTTAAATGCTTTCAACCTTAGTTTGAAAGTGTTGAATTTTTTTTTTTATATGTGGAGAGACAATAAAAGTTTTTGTATTCATTTTATCAAACCAGTTTCTCAAGAACAATGAGTTTGATTTTGATTGAAAGCTTTCGTGACTGCAGGGATTCATCTTCTTGGTTCTTTCGGTAAAGTCACGTAGAAGGGAAATAATAAAATAATAAAAATAAAACATAATAAAATAATTCTCACGACGTTTCGGCCACAACATAAGCAGCCGTCCTCAGGTGAAGACCAGGTCTGTCGGGGAGACAGACGCTTTTATTATGTTTTATTTTTATTATTTTATTATTTCCCTTCTACGTGACTTTACCGAAAAAACCAAGAACAATGAGTTTGATGTCCGCAATCCCAGTCTCACATTGGAGGGTTGCTGCTTTCCATGTGCTCCCCCTTTATTAATTAAAGCCACGTTTAATTAAAGCCTGCTCATTTCAGCAAGGGGCCGGTGGTCATCTCCATTTACGACCTCTGAGCCAGCGGAGGAATTTCCACATTCCTGTGGCGGGGACCAGTCACTATCCAGCATGGCCCGCACCTCCGATTTGCACGGTTGGCTACGTACGGTGCGAAAGAAGTTCAACATACAGTACATACATATTCTTAGGTTTTTCGGTAAAGTCACGTAGGTAAAAATTTTAAATTAATAAAAATTTAATAAAAATCACGACGTTTCAGAGGCAGCACAAGCTTCTGTCTCCGAAACGTCATGATTTTTATTTTATTTTTATTTTACTTTAATAATTTTAATTTTTTACCTACGTGACTTTACCAAAAAAACCCCTAAGAATATGAATCCTTGCAGTCACGAAAGCTTCAAATCTAGAATTAAGTACATACATACGTCCAGAAGTGTAAAAACAGGTCCATAGTTTGAGTGCTGAAACAAAGGCTGCTGCGGTTTTGTTCTCTGGAAAGCAACAGGCCAATGGGCTAAGACATATTTAGACATGGAGATACAGAAAGCATATCTACTTATATATCCGTTTCCTACAACATAGCACTTGCCATGTTCAAACTCCCTTCTCGGCTGGGATTTGAGTCACATTATCTAAACATAGATAAAATCCAGCTTGTGTCATTCAACGCCAAAATGGAAAGCCTCACTGAGTCTCAAAGTGTCTTCGTCAAGAAGGTCCTGAATTTTGGTTTTGTTTGGCCAATTTGTGCGCAGCACTTTTCCTTCCATAGCAAGACGACTGGGACCAGGTTGTGGGTCGTGTTGCCACCTTGTCCCGCTTTGACTGGGACAGTCCCGGAATTGGCATTTATCTGTGCTTGGCTGGCAGGAATTGGTTGCACCAAGAT